TTGCAATCGGTCACAAACTTTAATGGGCCTTAAATAAAATAAATTGCTTATACACCCTCAAACTTATCTAAAACCTAAATGGGCCATTCTGATTTAGAAATGGCCTAAGATTTCTTCAATAGCGCGAACCTCCCCCTTCAACATTTAAAATGGACTAAAAAATTTACATGGGCCATTTCTGATTTAGAAAGGTCCAAAATTTTTCAAAATAGTGTACCCCCTTTCAACATTTGAAATAGGCTAAAACCGAAAGGCCTTAACCTAAAGTGAAATGGGCTTAGCAAATTAGACGCTAAGCCCTTAGTCTAAGATGCACCCTGTATTTGCAAGCACAACCTTATTGGGCTTAAGTATTCTACATGGACTTAAGAAAACCCCTTCCATAAACTAAACCTATGAATCATATTATAAAGAAAGATGATAATTTTAGAACTGAAAAATTAGAAACCGGTAGGGAAAATTTAGGGTATGACAGCTACCCCTATTTAATTACCTTTCGATTGAATAGTGTGAGAATTCGCAGGTCTCGCATGTTCTGATCGAAATTTTATTAAATATTGGAAAACCATGAAATTTGTCTGAAATATTATAAGGATACGTTGTACAATGTTCCCATGGGTATGAAGAGTAGGCATAGATGATGATGTATCATCTTACCAAATTTTGAACCAAAGTTTAGTTTTAACTTAGATACAACAACGCAGATAACTCATCAGTATCTAAGAGATTGTAAATTCTTTTGCATATTTACAAAAATAAAAGTTTTGAAAAAGTTGACTTACTAATGCTTGGAGACTAATATAGTAAGTTTTGATTTGATGTGATTTTGTCTATTCATTGCAACCTAGGGGATGAATAAAACAAAGTTTGTAATACATTGCTACATGGAGACTGATGTGATGGATTACACATATTTCGTTATGTTTACTACAACCTAGGGAGTAAACAGTTATGACGATGGAACTGTGTTTTTATCGCAACCTAGGGGATAAAAGACAACAGGGGCGGGCTTATGTTGTTCATAACAACCTAGGGGATGACTACTATAACCCTGAAATTTTGCATATCTATCGCAACCTAGAGGATAAATAATATGAGCTTGAAACCAAATATTTGGAACTTAGAAAAACGCTGTTAGTTATGTCTGTTATCAACCAAGACTTGATAGCCAAGCGAAATATATTAGGTTTGAAGCAATGAACCAAAAATTCACTGATGATGTCGGTTGTGTCAGCCTTCAACCAAGACTATCAACAAGGATAAATAAACCCCAAATTCACTGATGATGTCAGTTGTGTCATCCCTCAACCAAGGCTATCAACATGAAGAAATAAACCCCAAATTAACTGATGTTGTTGGTTATGTCAACCCTCAACCAAGACTATCAACATGAAGAAATAAACCTCAAATTCACTGATGATGTCGGTTGTGTCAGTGCTCAACCAAGACTATTAACATGAAGAAATAAACCCCAAATTCACTGATGATGTCGGTTGTGTCAGCCCTCAACCAAGAGTATCAACTTGAAGAAATAAACCCCAAATTCACAGATGATGTCGCTTGTGTCAGTTCTCAACCAAGACTATCATCATGAAGAAATAAACCCCAAATTCACTGATGATGTCGGTTGTGTCTGTTCACAACCAAGACTATCATCATGAAGAAATAAACCTCAAATTAACTCATATTATCGATTGTGTCTGTTCTTAACCAAGACTATCACCATGAAAAAATAAACCCAAAATACATCAATGATGCCGGTTGTGTCTGCTCTCAACCAAGACTATCACCATGAAGAAAAAACAATCCCAAATGCATCGATGATGTCGGTTGTGCCTGCTCTCAACCAAGACTATCACCATGAAGAAATAAACCCAAAATTCACCGATGATGTAAGTTGTGTCTGCTCTCAATCAAGACTATCACCATGAAGAAATAAACCCCAAATTCATCGATTATGTCAGTTGTCTCTGCTCTCAACCAAGACTATCATCATGAATAAATAAGCCCCAAATTTTCACTAATGATACCGGTTGCATCAGTTCTCAACCAAGGTATCTCTTAAAGTTTGAACTATTTAGTTCATGCAAATAACCTTGCTAATGATGGACCCCAAGAAAATTCGCAATTGTAACCAAAGTAGTCTTGAAAGATGCCATGCATGATATATATGCATAATGCCCTAAATTGATGTGCTACCCAAGTGTGATATATGCCCCAAATGTTTCATATGTGTATGCCCCAAGTATTTACATATGTACCAAGTGTGTGTATGCCCCAAAATGTAAAAACGTTTTTTTTTATATTCTCTCCTTTTAAACCATTGGTTTTGTGTTACCGCCTCCACGGTGTTGTATGTTGTATCGTCGTGGTATGTTTGAATTAAAAGTGTCTGCAGGATCTTTATATTTCTATCACAAGTGTAGGCGTCAGCTTTGTCGTGGACATAAGCATGGACGTGGCTATGGTCGCAAATGTGGACGTAGTTGTGGATTTTCTTTCGATGTTTTTCTAACCAAAATGTGTTTTGATTATTTTATCAAATGATTTTATTTGTATGTTAATTCCCCAAAGTGATTTTAACGTAGTATTTACAAAAATAATCGTAGTATTTTGTAATCAAATCTAAAAAGAAAAAAAATATAATTGAAAGATTGAAAAAGTAAATGTTTTATTGATCAATATGCCTCTGAATAGGCGAGCGTGAAAAATGTAACTCCTTGAAAGAAGTAATTACAGAAAGTTTTAAAATTGAAAATGGCAATGAAAATGATAATTGCTACGGTTGTTTCTCCAATGTCCTTTTGATAACTCTAATCTCCTTTGCTTCTGAGTCGAATGATTTGGATTAATCCCTTTCGTACGTGGTCACATTCATGGTTCTTAGATCGCAGTCTTTTTGTTTTTTATTTCTTTTAGTTAGATCCCTAATTTTTTCCTGGATCTCCCTTTCGGGTTTTCAATCTACCGGGATAATTTTTTGTACATGTCCCTAATTTTTGCCTGGATCGCCCTTTCGGGTTTTCAATCTACCGGGATAATTTTTTGTACATGTCCCTAATTTTTGCCTGGATCTCCCTTTAGGGTTTTCAATCCACCATGACACTTCTTTTTGCCTAAGTCTCTTATTTAAGGTTCGATCTTAGCGACCTTTTTATACATAGTATTTTTTGACTGAGTCTAAATTTGCCGGATGCGGTAGTTCTTCCCCATCCATTGTTGGGAAGATGAGACCACCACTGGATAATGCTGTTTTTACCACGTATAAACCTTCATAGTTGGTTATCCATTTAACATGTGAATCGAGGCGAGGTAGCATAATATTCTTGAGCACCAAATCCCCTTCTTTGAATATTCAGGGGTGGACTTTCTTGTCGAATGCTTTCTTCATCCGCTTCTGATATAACTGGTCATGGCACAAAGTTGTCAAACATTTCTCATCAATGAGGTTGAGTTAATCAAGCCATGTCTGAACCCACTATGCTTCTTCAAGCTTTGTTACCATTAGAACTTGAAGTGACAAAATCTCTATTTTAACAAGGAGTTGCACCTGTTGATGTGTGTACGGAAGTACGATAGCCATGTAGAGCAAAGGGAAGCATTTCATGCTAATCTTTTTATGTCTTCACCATTTTCTGAATGATTTTCTTGATATTCTTATTGACATGTTCAACTTCCCCTTTCATTTTGGGTCGATATGGTGAGGAATTATGATGCTCGATCTTGAAATTATCGCATAACTCCTTCATCATTTTGTTATTCAGATTTTGTTGTTCATAACGATTCTGCTTGGAACCTCATATCTGCATATGAGATTTTACTTGATGAATCAAGTAACCACTTGACTTGTCATATTCGCGTAGGGTGCCGCTTCTACCCATTTCGTGAAGTATTCAATGGCAACCAGTATGACCTGGTGTATTGTAACTGGATTTTAAATCGAGTCGCCACTACTAGTTTTTAATCCTAAGGAAGGGGATCTAATAGGAAACCCTAATTTTATACACAGAGATTCTAGGTTCTTACTTTGTTTAGACGAAGGGAAGGTGTTAGTAACCCCTCATCTACCTTGTTCGCAAGGATACATGAGTTTAGGTTTTAAAGGTTTAGGGTAAGGGTTTTAATTGTTTAATAGGGGAACTCGCCACGATTTTAAGTCGTATGCCTAGGTATCCTCTTTTGAGAAATCAGAGTCCCAATTCGTAGTTCTTATGGGTTTGTGTTTTTTATGGATTACAGAGATATATTAATATCCCTCGCACTTAGCCCGGGTGTGTGAATAGCAGAAATTTTAGACCAAATGCGCAGTTAATTAAAATATGCTTCGTACTCCTTTTTGGAAAAATAATTATTGAATTAATTTATTTATGAAAAATGATTTGGTGTTTGATTGGATATATTTTATGTATTAATTGTAAAAAATATCTTATTTAATGCATGATTTAAAATAATTTAATACAATAAAAAAAATATTTGAATGATGTTTAAAAAATATTATTTAATAATAGTAATAATTAATATAATATTATAATTATATATAAAAATAGAAATATAAAAATAATAAAATAAAATAATAAAGAAAATAAACTAAAAATACAAGGGGTGAGAATTTAGTTGAAAAGTAAAACTAGGGGTGCTAACAACATGGGCCTGAATTCATATATTGAATTCAGGGCCAAAAGACAGAGGGTGCATTTTTACACTGCGTAGTAAAATGAGGAAGTGTGAGAAGTAAGGGGTGTAAATAGGAATGCAAGATATATAAAGTTAGGGACCAAGGCCCAAATAAATTTGTAAACCCAAATTCCTATGATAACAATAGTAATAGGAAAAAATAAACATACCTGGGAGCATTATAATGAAGGGCTCCGCCTACTTTTCATTCTAAATGATAAATGAATTTGACTTTTCAAATTAAAATAATACCCAACCGAAACTTGACACATGGTAATTAAATGTGAGAGAGAATATATACTCCACTCTCTTCCTCACATGGTTATTTACAGTAACAACAACACTTTTCTTCTTCTACAATTTACTTCACAACCCATCTCAAAATGATTTAAACAAGAAAACAAAAGAGTTACCCACAAATTATGGCGGTGGATCTGGAGTGGTGTGCATGTGGTTGTGCGAATCGAAGGATGTCCGGGGTGATTTGCGGAGGAGTAGATCTGAAACAGAGAGATACCAATGGTGAACGGTCGACAACACATATCCTCTTTCTTCGACTTTATTTTCCTTCCTTATTAGACTGTACCTTTTGTATTGTAGATGTTGTAAAATAACTTTAAAAAATTGTAAGAGATTTGATGGTTAGTGTCAATGATTTTAATTTTTTGAATTTGTGTTTTGTGTAGAAAAATCATGTCAAGATTTTGTGTAGAAAATTGATCAATTTGTGATTTAATCTGTCTATATAAAAAAACTTACCGTATAAGACTCACAAGTAAAATAATAGTTTATTCTTATTAAAAAAATAAGTTTGTTATTAGTATAAAAAAAATAGTTCATAAGAACGTGTTTGTAAGTATAGTGTATAAGGGGGTAGAATGTATGTACAACGAGTAAATAATTTTTTGGTGTAAGAACCTAGTACGAAATGGCTTGTGAGAAATTTGGAGCGTGAGAAAAATTCTAGGTGTTATCCTAGTGAATGACTATAGGTGAAATTGTTGATATAAACAAAATAATTTCAAAGAAACAAAAACAATCATCAAGAATCATCATTTGATTGAAAAACAATAACAAATAAATTAAATAAAAAAAGTATTGAAAATGGGGTCTCATATTAAATCATCGGCCAAAAAACAGTTTGAAAAGAAACCTTGAAAAGAGATTGAAAAAATGTATGAAAGTGAAAGTTGAAAATAGTGTAAGTGTAGTGAAATTGTGAGAATTGTTCATATCCTAATAGTGTGAAAGAGTGGCCTATTTATAGTGATAATTAGGTCAACAAATTAGAAAATAAAATTGATTAGCCATTTAAAATTTTCCTGGTCAGTAAGCTAACCAATTAGAGATTGAGTATTGCACTCAATTTTGGTAAAAAGTGCATAAATAAAAATAAATGGATATTTTTTATAAATTCCTTAATTATAAAAACGAAAATAATATTTAATTAATAAAAAATGACTTTTTATGATTAAAAATATAAATAGTTAGTAATAAATAAACAAAATATCCAAAGTGCACCAAGTGAGATTCGAACTGATGACCTCATACTTGTAAGATTCATTCTTTACCAATTGTGTTATCTTGTTTATTTAAAATAGAAATGCAATTAAAAGTATATGGAGACGAGAAAGTGTTTGTTATATTTTAAAAAAATACAAATAATTTAAAATAAATTATTATATTTTTAAATAGACTTTGAGAATGAATATTTATAAAACCCCAAAATATTAATGTAAATCAAAAGAATTTTATAAAATCCAAGTTTAAAAATAAACTTGACGGTAGCACTAAGGGGGGGGGGGGGGGAATTTGGGGTATGATACATTGTTCGTTAGATGCTTTCGGTTTGATCATGCCTATCATATCAATTCCTCACATAGAAAATAGCCAAGGAGAGCTCATAACATTCAGAGGAGTAGGTGGCACATTCATTTTGTCGGTGTAGATTTGGAACTTGTGACATGTCTTTGTATAATAGTAGCAATCGGATTCCATTGTTAACCAGTAATAACCTGCTCGCAAGATATTTCTAGCCATGACATTCCCATTTGTATGAGTTTCAAAAGTACCTTCATGGATTTCTCACATAAGCGTATCTGCTTCACGCTTCACCACGCACCTGAGTAACACCATATCGTAGTTTCTTTTGTATAACACATCACCATTCAATAAAATTTTTGAGGCTAGCTTCTGCAGAGTTCGTTTGTCAATGATAGAGGCATTTTCTGGATATTCTTGTTTTTCAAGGTACCTCTTGATGTCATAGAACCAAGGCTTATTATCCGGTCCCTCTTCAATAGCGAGGCAGCGCGCAGGATCTTCGAAATGTCTAATTGTAATATGTGGTTTATGTTTTGGCCAAGTTACTTTGAACATGCCAAATAGAGTTGTCAAGGCGTCTTCCATCTAATTCTCCTCTCGTGAGATATGACTAAAGGTGATCTCTGTGAATTTCGTAGCTAGTTTTAAAACATGATCCCGATATGGAATCAATTTTGGATATTTAGTGTCCTATTCGTTGTTGACTTCGTATATGACTAGCAAGGAGTCTCCAAATACTTCGAGATGTTTGACTCTTAGATCAATGGCGGTCTCTAGACCCAGGATACAAGCTTCGTATTCGGAGATATTATTGGTGCAGTCAAAATATAATCTCGCAGTATAAGGCTTGTGATAATTCTTCGGAGAAGTCAAAACTTCCCCAATGTTGTGCCCCAGTGCATTTGAAGCTCCATCGAACATGAGTGTCCAACGTGCCCCTTGTTCAGATCCTTCATCGCGCCCTAGTATTTCGTAGTCACCTATAACCATGACATATTCGTCTGGAAAATCAAACTTCGTTGGTTGATATTCTGGAAATGGCTGATGAGCTATAAGGTCATCTAGTACACTACCCTTTATGGCCTTTTGAGTAACGTATTGGATGTTGTACTCTGATAGTAACATATGCCATCGGGCAATCCTTCCACTAAGAGTCGGTTTTTCGAACACATATTTTAAAGGATCTATTCTTTCTATTAACCACGTGGTATGAATTAACATGTATTGCCTCAATCTTTTAGTATCTCAAGCCAATACACAACAAGTTTTCTCGAGAAATGAGTACTGTTGTACACCAATTTTTGCGCCGAAGATTCATCTATCATCTCATACCATCACAATCCAACAATATCACACACTAGAGTTTGATTCTTCTCCTTATCTTTAACTTTGCTCATGGGGAATCACCAAGCACATTGACTTGTATATTATGATCATCTATGTTTTGTATTGATTAACTTTTAACTAATAAGTACAATGAACATTTGCTCTAATTGTTGGTATCATAGGTGAAAGCACAATACACTCCATCAAGTTGATCCATATGTTCATGAGTTTATTTCCATGCATTCTTCAACAAAGCTTCATACAGATTCAAGCTTCATTATTGAAGGTATTTTGAAATAGTATCATGACAAAGTCTATTATGATTCATCATACCTCAAGTTGTCAAAAATAGTTCAAAGGTACAAAGGTTGATTGAAGAAGTTTGACCTAGTTGGACAAGTATTTGGTTTCATTGATCACAAGTGCATATCTCCCATATTTCTCAAGATTTAGAAGTGGTTTTTGTTTCTATTGTGTCTATTATCATCCTCAATAACTTCTATTAACATGACAAAAGTATTTGTACAAGGAAGTTTATCTAAATTGCAAAGGTTTCCCAAGGCATTTTGTTACTCTAGGAGCTAGGGTTTTGAACTTCAAAGGGGTATAACTTGCTCATATTTTGGTATTTTTGTGTGATTCAAAATACATCCTTATCTTCAAAGGGATATCAACAAATCACTTCAAAAGTTTCAAGGAAATTTTGTGAGGAAGATACCTAATAATGAAGAAAGATTACAAGTTCTCTAAACAAACCATCAAATTCCCATATGTGACTTCAAAAGATCATAACTTGGTCAATTTTTATCACCTTGAGCCCATTATTATTCCAAATTGATCTTAAAGATGTGAACTTCAACCCTTCTTTTAACTGCAAAGTGTGAAAATGAATAGAAGATGCCCAAAAGATACAAAAGATTATAGGTCATTTTATGAATTTTTTCCAATTTCAACAAGTCATAACTTTCTCACTTTTTGGATATTTTAAATGGTTAAAGTCTCAAGATGTCATTCAAGATATCTACTTCATGCCATCTTTTTTGGTCAAGAGCAAATTTAAAATGGAAGGCCATGTTTGGATGCAAGACATTATAAGTCATTTTTTAAGAAAAACTTAGAATTTTTTTAAGTACAAAAGTTAACCTCTTTTTCTCAACTTTGACTCATCACAATTTTCAGCTCGAGCATCCAATTGATCCCATTCTTTGTACATTGTAAAGCTTGTGATCTCATCTTTCTAAAGCTTCAAGAATCATATCCTAAGACTCATTGAGCTGAGAATACCATTGACTTGAACTTGGTAAATGTAAACTGAAGTTTCTTCAAAATTCAGAATTTGAAATCCTTGATTTAGCTTCCAAACACATTTTTTCTGCGAGCTTTTGCTTCTAAACATGTTTAGTGAACCTCCAAAAGTGATTAGCATATTAAAAGGAAAGGTTTGGATGATTTTTGATCAAATTAGAAGTCACACTTTTCTTGTTTGCAACTTCACACGATTTCCTTCCAAACTTCACCATTTCACACGCTTAAGCATTCAATCAGCTTCCCTATAAATAGAGGATCATACCTCATTCATTTTCTCAAGCTTAGAGAGCCAGAATCCCCTTTCCAAAATTCCTCTTGAACATAATTTTCTGCAACTTCAAATTTGCTCTTACATCCTTTCTCAATCATTTTTATTTGTCAATTCACCTTCCTTGAACCTCACTAAAGCTAACAGAAGAAGAATTAAGCTCCAAGACTTCCTAAATCGTGTTAGCCAAGTCCATTTCAGAGCTCTGAAACTTAAATTTAATAGGTAGATTCCTTTGTCAATTCTCTCAAACTTTGATACTGTTATGAAGCTCTCATCATTCTGATTCTAGTCATAGCACTTGTTTTCAACTAGAAGTACGTTTTTGCCATGAAATTTCAAATCCCTTTTCAGAACTTCTTTTCAAAAACGACTGAGCTGCAATTTTTATTAATTTTTCGCGAAGGTACCATTTTAATCGTCTTAAAGAGACGAAGCGAATGGTACCAGTCTCGTGTCCTAATTTTACTGTTTTTGGAACCTGTTTATTCGTTGGCTGGAGGTTGAAGATGACCAACGTGTCATCTATCAACCAATGAAGGTGTGCCACACATTTTTTTAAATCTGATTTAAATAATTGATCTCATGCTTTATTCACTAAAGACCATGATATGCACAACGCGTCTAATCCATTGGATTAGCTTACTAACGAGTTTTGACTCTTATCCATTGGTCCACATTTTTTAACTTTATTTTTATTTCTGATTTTTATATTTAAATTGTTTTAAACTTTAAAAATCATAGAAAATTCATTTTAACTTCAACAAATCTGAAAAAATTACGAAAAATAATTTTGATTTTTCTCTTTCTGATTAT